GGTGCTTTCTCCCCCGGAGGTGCTTGTGCCGGAGGGGAGGGGAGGAGGGGAGCCTGTGCTTGCGCGGGGAGGCACGGCGTCGTTCACCTCCTCGGGGTACCTGTGACCGAAGCAGCTGTGGGGCTCGACGTTTCTTTTGCTCTTGGTGGCTGTTGCTGGATTGACTTTTTTTTTTTTTAATTCTAATTTGTTGTTGTTGCTCATGCGTGTTAAACAGAGCCCTAATTCAGGAAGATTGCGATTTGAGAAATGTTAGTATTCGTCATTGCATCAAAACACAGTTTTTGCTTGACCGCCAGTTTTATCACAAAACTGTAAAAATGGAAATATGTGGAACTTCACATTGTCATATGCAGCACTGGAGCCGCACGCAACTTTCTGTGGTCGCGGGTCACGTGGTAAAGGTTGCTTTGAAGACTGAAGTATGAAACAGAGCCATGGTCCACAGTTATGTTGTTTTGTTGTCGGCTGTGCTGTCATTGCTGTCTTTTAAGTAACACTGTGGAAGACAACCTATCCAATATTTGCAGACTAATGGACCGTAGTCCATATTTGAAATAAGGAGTTGTGAGAAAAGCGTTCAGCTCTGACACGTCAGGCTTAGGATAGGGAAGTTGTAGAATACTGTGTATCACATTATCAGATTGATAGCATGAAAAAAATCTTCTGGAAATGGGTTTAATTTCCTGATCTTACTAAGAAAAAATAGGTAGTTTCTGAAAATAAGAGATCGTATTTTTAGTCCTGTGATGTCAAACGTCATGGAAATATAAGGATATTGTAAATCTCTGTAATTAAAATGCTATACAAAGCTACATAACTGTGTGAACAAGCATATCTCTTAAATGCAATTGCTCCTTTCTTTTATAGGAGAAAACGGACATAGAAGGGACCTTATTTGTGTACAAAAGGTAAGGGTTTTTTTGTGGTGGTGGGGGGCAGTGTTTTCCTTCCTTAGGAAAACAAACTTCAGATGGCTTCATGTGTAGCTTTCATATTGGATTTACTGCATCTAGTAAAGTCATTATTACTTATTTGTCCAGCTGTTAATGTCTGTATACCTGTTTGAAAAGAATAAACTCTGCACATAGGTGAATAACTGTCAAAAGCACCTAAAAGAACTGCTGAAAAATCATAAAACTTGACGAACGCTGCATATGTATCCACACAAAAACCGAATTTATCGAGCTTATTCTGTTAATCCAATAGCATTTATTAATGTATTGAGTTTGTTAAATACTGGGTCTTCCTTTGTCTCCTAAAATCGATAAAGTTGATTATGAAAATGATACAGATGACAAATTAAATAATCTGTCCTAACTTACTGTCAGGAAATGGCAGAAATTTTTGTACATGGACAAAGTTGCCTAGGAGATCTGCTAATGTATAGTTTTGGGTGCTGCTTGATTTCCTCAGCAAAACCATGAAAGAAATTTCCAATTATATGGGATGGAGCAAGGGGGGGGGGGGGAGAACCGGCACATAAAACTGATCATGGATTTAAGTTTTAAATTAGAGGCAAATCAAATATCTAACAATGAAATAACACTCTGTGGAATGTAAGAAATAAAAATAATGCAGACTTAACCCATCCTGAAACAAACTTTCATAGACTAGGTCATTACAATATCTTATCCTGGCACTGTGAAGGGATACTGGTAACCAGTTCCCGTCTACTTTACTTTAGCTCCAAGCTTGGAAATACTTAGTGTAAGAAAGCCAACCAAAGTAAAATCAAAAAAACTAAGCGGAAAGTTTCCATGTGACTAGCTGATTATTTCAAAGAAGTTCTGTTAGGTGCATTAAAAGACTAACTCGTGATGGTAAGGATTGTTTGCCCCCTCCTTAGAAGCTCTTGACACATTTTGTTGTTGATCATTCGGTAAAGGCGGCCACATTGTTACAGAAATCTTAACATTTACAAGCTAATTATATCTGATTTTTACCCTGCCTCCATCATGCTGCTTTGTTGATTATATGACTGCTTACAGGCACAGTTGAGTATGCTGACATGACATTAATGCAGCAAGAGAAAACAGATCTAAAACTATCTTGAACTTCCAGTGCTTGCTTGTTTGATGTTTTCTTTTTTCACCTGGTGTCTAGCAAAAATCTAGATAATAAAAATTGTTTCACTAAGCAATACAGTTCTGATTAAATTAATATCTACTTTGAGGACACTGGGTTGAGTATTTTAAGAGTCTCCCTTTAGGAAGAAATTACTGCTTATGGTTTCCCTCTAAGTGTATTTCCTGTTATTTAAGCTAATAGGTTTTTTTATTGTCATACCTGTTTACTGTTGCTCTGTAAATGTTGCTCTCTAAGTGGTTTGTTTTTTCTCCTCTAATAAAAGATTCTAAAATGCCTCAAAACTATTTTATGTGAAGTATTGAATACACTTGCACTTTAATCGTGGACCTGCCCTCGTTTTTTTGAATAGATTTTTTCTTTTGAAGCATATCTTTGATTTAGCAGTGTAGAACTGTAATGTTAATCCTAATCCTACTTTGAGGTAAGTGTAGTTTTAAATTGAAATTAGTTGGCATGCCAAGAAATAGCATAGAAGAACAACTGTTAGAGCTTCAGGACTGCTAAAGCTTCACCTAATAAACCAATGGAGATTTGAAGATTAATTCATAACTCTGTTTCAGAAAATTATATATGTTGATCAAGGTATTAATCCTTGTTTTTGTTTTAATTGAAACAATAGGTCAGCTTCTCCTTATCATGGTTTTACGATAGTGAATCGATTGAACATGCACAACCTGGTTGAACCAGTAAATAAAGATTTGGAGTTTCAGCTCCATGAACCATTTCTTCTCTACAGAAATGCTAGCTGTGAGTATAACTTTCTTTAATCCATGTAAACTTCATGTTCTGTTTTATAATCTAGACCACTTCTAATTACTGTGGTGTCTATTTCAAGTAGAATGTAATGGGGCAGGTTCCAATGAAATGTCTGATGATGTTTTCTGTCTACAGTGCTAGATTTACTTAAATACCTGTGCTATTATATTATGATGACCACCTGCTTTCAATAAAAAGAGGATATACTAAGTTCAGTATTGCTATATTAATAAAAAAATTATGAAAGAATAATGAAGATTGATAGATTTTGAAAGTATTTAACACCAAGAACAGTTCTAAGGGCTTCCTCTTTTGCAAGCAAAAAATTAAATATTAATCAGTAGCTGCTTGAAGAAGTTGAGAAAATTGCTCAGCTCTAGGTTGAAGGTTTCTTTCTCCACAATAGGTTTTGGACTCAGGATATACTGTCTATACTAAATTTCCTGGAGTCTAGACTCCAGCAAGTCTGGGTGTTGGGATAGTCATTATACAGATGAGCGGTAAAATAGTCAGTATCTTCTTGCTGCTTTTTGAATTCTAGTAGTGTTTTGAATCATCAGCTGAGCTTTGGAGTTCCAGTGTGCTGTGTTCTAATTAGGTACACACTAAAAATCCTGTTACTCCAAAGAGCTCAAAGTATAAATTACGTAGCCCTTAAAGAGATGAAGAGGGAGTATATGTGCATATGAAATTCACATTATGGTAAGTAGACAAATAAAAGGCACCCCACAGAGCAGAGGGTCCTCCTGATGCAAAGGTATTGTTTCATGTCCTCTTTTCTAGGCAAAGTTCTTGAAACTAGTTCCCTGCTGTGAACCTAGTGGCAGGTTCCCCTTACTGAATTACTCGGAGAACCTGTATGCTGTCTGGACTTCTTCAACACCATGTCTTCTTCCTATCGGAATGTCCCCTTGAATTACAGATAGGAACACTGCTTTCGCTATGCTTCAGTGTACCTAAAAGCACAGTCAAATGTTAATCCCTTCCTGTTTCCCCCTTGGGAAGCCTCTAGGATCTGTGGGCAGTAGGATAGATTCCATTATGGTGACAAAGAACAGCTTAAGGTAGGTGGTCTCCTCTGTTTAAGTCTTAGCAATCCTCTTTCTGTAAGTGTCATCGAGAGGAAAAAGTCAAAACTTGTCAGTAAGTTGAGAAGTCTAGGAGATTAGGGAAGTAAATGACTGGCAAGAAATTGAAAGGGGGAAAAATATTGCATTGAGTTGGATATTTAAGCAGGTTGCTTGGTTTGGAAGGAAGAGGAGCTGTAGATGATGGTGGTAGGGGTAGGATGGCTGATGAGGTGGCAGTAGAGGAAAGAATTGCAGTTGTGAGATTGGTGACATAAGGGAAGCAGGAAGTTGATTCATTTCTTTGTTGGAACTGCTGATGGTATCAGGAAGCAGGAGCTGCTGTGGCATTACCATGGTGTATGCTAGTGGGAGTGCCTAGAGGATCACTTAAAGGAAGTAATCAGAAAAGGCAGGCTGTGTGTGAGTTCATTAGAAACCCCTAAAGCTAATTATATGCCTTTCTCTCATTGATAAAAGCTCTCCTTTTCCTATGGGGCACTATTGCGTAAGATCTGTGGGAGGCTCATGGGAGTTAGGATAGAGATGACATAGAAAAGTACCAGGAAGGAAGAAATTGATACAAAGGTGAGCAAGGAAAATATTATAGACTGGATATGGGAAATAACTGCATTCTGAAGTAATCAGGAGTATTTTTTTTTCCTCTTATATTTTTCCCATCGTTATTTTAAAAGACTTCAGTCGGAAACTATCCTATATTTTGTCACTCTGTCCTGGAAGAGGGTGGTAGTGTGTCCAGAAACAGTCTACACTGATGGCAAATTGAAAATATTCAATGTAGTTAGTTTGTCATTAGTTATTTCCCAAAGTGCCACAAATAAGCAGCAGATCAGTTTTTGTGTGCTCTGCTAGTGTTCACTTTGTTCAAATACAAGCTTAAAAGCATAGAAAACAGCATCTAAGCTTTTTATTCCTTATGGTTTCAGCACCGCTAACTCCCTTACACTTTGCATTTAGTTGTGTTTTGGATTTTCTTCCTTACATGCAGTTTCCCATATTGTCCGACCTCTGAATTAGTTAGGAAAAAAAACAAATTATATGATTGAAATGTTCAGTGTTAAAGCTGTTTGCCTCTATCTGCATAGTATTCATGAAACTTTAAAAAAAAAACAAACTAAAAAACCTTCAGGATTTATTTGGATTTGCAGACAAATTTCAACATGTATATGTTTTATTTGTGTGGGTAGATTAGGGGATTCTTGTCCAAGTTCTTTTCATGTGGAAGGGTGTCCACTTGGGCTCGGCTGCCTGCTGGCATGAAAAAAGACCTTTGCATTTTTGGGACTAATTCGAATAGGAGTTTTAAGCCAGTGGTTAATGTAATGTGTATCTCTTAAGGGTTTAATGTGGTGTATCTCTAATGGCTTAATGTGAAGTTCTTCTGAGATCCTTTAATGACTGAAAGAGGATGGACTGCTAGGTTGTGCAAGGAAAAACTACCTCTTATACAGCATGTTGGCAACAGCCCTGTTTCCTGTAGAGTGTTTTTTTTGTATCCTGCTTAAGGAAATCTACTGTGATCATTAGAAACTCTTAAGGAGTAAGTTGTCCTGCTAAGATTGCTGAATGATTGAACTGATGATTCTGTTTCCTTAGCTTACGGATGGGGAATGGTTCAGACTATCTGATGAAAACCTAAAATCATGTTTATTAATACTGCTGTTTGGCAGAGACAAACATATTTTGTGCCTGTATATTTAGGTTGTAACAGGATCAATGACAAATCATGCTTTTCGCTTCCCCAGGGCATGGTAGAAACAGTAGATGATGATCAAAGCAAGATTATGCCACCACGTATTTGGGAAAGGTTCCATGTCAAGAATCTTTATAACTGAATATGATACTACTGTTTCATAAACTTCATGTTTTCACTTTGTTCTGGGATTCTGTCTTGACTTAAGAAGATAATAAGGGCAAAGTCTGTTACGTATACCGGATCAGACCTCTGGCTTTTCTGTCTTAAATGGCATGAGAGCTGTTCTGAGTGACGTATCAAGTGACGTACCCCAATCTATGCAGAGCTGCTAACAAGTTATATGAGAAACTTTGCAAGCAGTATGTAAACATTATTTTTGCTTGGCTGGAGGCTATAATAATGATTTGCCTGTCATGCTAGATCATAATGTTTTTGGTGGGTTTTACCATTCTTTTATGGTTTGATTTGTTCAAATACTTATTTTTAATACACAATGGAATTTTTAGTTTGTTGCATGTCAGAACTTAGTTTTGTTAAGCTGTACACATGAGATCCTTTATCCAATTGCACAAAGACTTTTTCTTACTCTTAGAACAAGACTAGCTAGTTGCCATTTTATTCTCACGGGAAAGGAGGCCTGTCTTATCTTTCATAGTTGTTGGGGGGGTTTTCCCCGCGTTTTTGCAGGGTGGGATATGAAGGAGTCTTTCATAGGTATTCTGGAAGGAGAATAGACCAAGTGATGCAGTACCTTTCTTATATCTACCTTTTATTGTGTTTGCTGAGTGAAATGGAAGACATTTGGGTCAATTTGTTATTTATTATTCTGGTTAGATGCAAGACATGTAGAGGCTTTTATTTTTTTTTCCCAGAAAATAATACCTTTTTAATATTTTAACCTTTAATGGGGAAATCTTTCCCAACTCCAGAGAATTTTTTTTCTCAAAATCATTCTGGCTACTTAATACGTTCAAGCCCCAAAAGAACATTTAAACCCAAAATTTTTAGAAAGGTTATGTCTACTTTAAAAGCTGTATACAATGCTGCCTGAAAACTTACACCATTTATTCATGAGGCATCAGATCCCAAAGCAAAAATGGCAGGGGGTGTGACTAAGAAGCTGTGAGACATTATACCTGTTACAGTGGTAAATAGAAAAAAAGGTATTCTACTTTTCATTGTTAGAATTAAGAAAGCAAGTATCTCCAAATGTGAATAAATAAAGAAATTGCCAAAATGAAAAGAAATTGTTTGACTTAATGTAACATTTTTGAAATTTAGAATTCCTCTTAAAAGGTAGAATTTTTTAGATTATACTTCATACTTAATGTGCTATTTATTATTGCTTAATCTGGAATATGTGTTGCCGGGTACATTTGATCCTTGTCTAACTTTACCTCTGGACGCACGCACATTCTTTAAAGTATCCAGAGTATTTGTTTATGAAGCACTGAATCCCATTGACCTATTTTTTTAATTAACCTAAGCTTGTTTCCTCTTGTCTGTATTTTGTGAAAAGTATGTTAAACTCTGTTTAAAAAAATGCATACAGTTCTGCCAGTAACAGTAATAATAGTCCAATCTGAAAGTTCAGTACTTTCTTTCAATCTGTAATGTGAGACTTTGAAGCTGATAGTTGATAGTTTGCTTAATAATAGAGGAAAATTAGTTGAGGTTTTAAGCAATGTCCAACTTACCTCTTAAAGTCTGCAAGAAGTATTCTTCTAAGTCTCTCTCGTTTATAACTTTCCCTCTGTATCGGTGGTGTTGGTCTTGATTAAAAGGCTTTTTAATCCAAGCTAGTTCACTTGGGAGGTCAGGCAGATTGATTTCCATGGTGCTAAAAAGACACGCTAAGCATAAAACTTAGGTATTAAAATAAATGGTCCTTGTTTGGTGTGGGTTTTTTGGTTTTTTTCTTGCTTGCTTCTTATTCCTGTCCAAGGGTAAGAGTTAGTAAAACAAAAATAATGGATTTTGGAGAGGTTTGTACGTTTGAATGGAAAACTCAGTTACAAAGTGCTGTCTTCTGGGCTTGTTGTATTGTCATTAATTAAACAAACTTGTATTCAGAACAGCAAAAGCAAAATGAGTTGCATTATTTCAAATGGCTTTTAAAATTCTTTGAAAGAGCTCCTGACTGGTTTCAAAACAGGGTATCTTTACTGGTAAGGAAAGTCTCTCATTATCACCTTTGTTCCTGGCTGGCAATGCATTAAGTATAACATATCTCTGTGACTGCCGAGGCTGAATGGCTCTCCAGCAAGCGCATTAACCCAGTGGTTTAGTCTGAGATAAGAAAGGAGCCTGTTCTGGATACCTTTATAGCAGAAGAAGCAATGCAAGCTAGGGGGAGGGGAGGAACCATTGAAAGCTGTTAAGAAGTTCTAAAAATATTTTGTTTGACCTGAAAGTTGGGACTCTAACCGGAAGGGGTTTTCTGCTCTGGTTCGGTGTTGCAAAGCAGTAATCCCTCTCATTCCACACTATACTTTGTCAGATGGCAGTTTGTTAAAGTGTTTCTGGTCTTGGATGCTGTTTGCCACCTGCTGAATTACTCCAGTGCAACTACTTGTGGGATTGTGCTGTGAACTGTATTTGTGAAATGGCCTTAGATATTCAAAACAATAAGAAAGGGAGGGACTTCTTTTATTAATTCTAATGATTTATAAATCTATGTGGCAGGCTAATATTTAAATTGAGGAAAATATATATAGTGAATGAGGAATCTCGGTGAAGAAGACATTAGAGCAGATTGACTGACGGGAGGTGGCATTTCAGCTAACATTGCTGCTGGAAGAAATACAAGCTTTGAGAGAGATTGCTTTATATGCTTTTGCCTTAAACTCAATTTGAAGTGTAAAATGATGCATTTACCATGTGCAAATGATGCATATATGTGCTTTTCTTTATGGGAGTGAGATCGGGTTAAGTTGATTTCCATTATTATCTTATAGTATGGGTTTCAAAATACGATTCCTTTCTTTCCAGAGAGAGTTTGAAAGGTTGTTGTCCTCCACTTCCAGTTGTTCTGCTTCATTGTATAGCAACATCTAAATTGGAACTGTAAAATAAAACTTTTCTCTCTTCTATCAGCTCTTCCAACTCGTTAAGGTAACTTTTAAACAGGTCATCTTTTTGAATGAGATGAAGCTGTATCTGCAGAAATGGCTGAACTGCCTAAGGCAAGAGAGTGATAGTGTCTGGAATCTCTGAAACTGGCAGTGTTGATGAGTCCCATGTATACTTCTTTTGGCATAGCATTCTCAGGCAACAGTTTCATGAACTTTTTAACAGTTTTGCCTTACTATGCTGCCCCCACAGCTTCTTGTTTCTGCCCTCTCTCTTGTGCTAGATGGCATGTTTGTGAAGCTGATGCACAAACAGTTTCAAGGGACTGGTCTGGACTAAAAGCTGACATAAGGGAGAGGGGAGAATTGGGGTAGAATGAGTTAATGGCAAAGTTGTGGGAACGTAAGGGTGGTGACACTGCTTCTTTCTGCTTACTTAAAATGAAAACTGAAGTGAAACTACAGCTTTGGGATGCAACTTCATGTTATGTTGCCAAAGAGTGAGGACTCTGTCTCACTGTAGCACTTTTGCTATCCCCACCCTTAATTCAGATCTGCTAACTGGGCAGCATTGGAGCAGTAACCTGACTGCCCCATGAAGCAATGGGAGCACAATGTAGAAGAGATCAAGACCTTCCTTTTAGTGTCATCCAGCTGTTAGGCTTGAGGAGGAAGACTTCCATAATGCTGCTGTTTTCTCAAAATCTCTTTGTTTTCCCATAGTAATTTCAATCAAGTTTTAATGATTGATCCAGTCAAGTTTGGAGAGAAGTTGAGTGTTACATGTTTAGTTAGATAAATATTTGTGGGTCAGTGTTTCTAATAAAAATGACATGTGTCAGAGAAGAATGTAGATGAAGAAAATTGATGACTTTTTGGTTTTATGAAATCTGATTTGTCTGTGATATGGGTTACTCGTGACTTAATGTGTGTCAAAATATAATGTGAATCCAACTGAAAGGTCTTGCTGATGAGGATTACAGACTGCTTCTACTTGATTACTAAAGGTGCTGCCCAGCATTCAGTGTAGAAAAGCTGGATGGAAAGTGTTGAACTAGATGGAAAAATGAGTCCCTTAATTTAGTGGCTTCTGTTGGATGAAACTCTTAAAAGAACTGCAGTAGAAAGATACGCCATTAGACATGAACATTCAGCTAATGTTTATGCTGGGTGTAGTAAAAAGATCACAGATTTGAAAAGAAATGGTGAGTACCAACTCTGTTTTTAATAAAAGGGTGTTCGTTCATAGCTGAAGTTGCATGTGTGTAAGAAATATATCGAATATAGTAATGGAGTTGGAACACACACACATACTTCTGGGGCAAGGCAGCTGAACTGATAGTACAAATGAGTCCTCTTTTGAAAAGAGGAAGGTAAACATTCCAGCCTGTTGGACCATATCTAAGTTAATGCTCAAGTTTACTTGTTCATAATCTGCTTTACATCTTTTTAATACTGCTAATGTTTTGCAGTGACTCCCTATGATTTCTTGCCAGTAGTACAAAGTGGAAAAAAGCCCAATACTCTGTACACCAAACTGAGATTTGGATCTACTTCTGGTCTTGTGTAGGCCTGTTTCTGGCTGAATTGAGTGTGACTTTTATCATTTGTCCCATGAAGATATCATTATAGGTTTCTTATCTTCACTTCTTCAGCAAGTATGCTTTTGAAGAAGCTTTCTTCTCTTGGCAGTTTGTCTGATAATGAAGTTAAAGAGCTTTTCTTCAGTGTTAAAATATGCTACATGACTAAAGAAGTAGCTCAAACTGGAAACATTTTCAGGTTTCTATGCAGTAGACAATCCAGTTGTATTAAACTGTAAATGTTAATAAATATTTCATAAGCATTGGTTATATATATGAAATGCTTTTTTATTAGCTTATGTCTTTTGTAAGAAGAAAGTTCCTTAAATTGTGCTATATTGGTTTCTTTGTCTATGACTTGAAAAGCTTTGTTGTCTATTACTTAAGCTGTAACTTCTAAAGAAACAAACACCCAAATGAATGTGGTTGTTATTTAATAAAATAAAAAAAAAAAGCCAAGTAGAACTTCAGTTTGTCTTAGGATATCGTTATAGAAATGAGGTGTGGGCATGACTTTTGGGGGGTTTTGGTCCAACACAGTAAGCCTAGGATAACTGGAAGGTCTAGAAAAAAAGTTTGATAAATAATTGCCTTCTTTGCCATGGCTTGAAATAATTTTGAGTGGACTTTGGTTGAGATTTTTGAGTGTTTTGAGGAGGAAAAAAAGGTGGGGGGCGGGGCAGGGGGAAGGATTTAACTTTGAAATAAAAATCTACATCTGGCTGGAAAAGGTTGTGTATGGTTTTTTTTTTTTTTAAACATTCCTTTCCTTCACTTTAAGTCATATTTTTATAATCAGTTAGTGATTTCAACTTCATAAAAACATTGGCATGAACTACAGTATAAAGATGTGTTTTAAAAATCTAAAAGTGTCTTTTCAGAAATGAAAGTATTTTAATGGTAACATGTGAAGTGTCTGATTGCCTTTGATGTACTTGAAAGCTATGCATTGAAAAACTTCATAGGTGAACCAAGATTTAAAATAACCTGCTTTGTGGGTTGGATTAAATACAATTCTGAAAAGAATTCTGCAGATTTGTTGTGTTGGCACAACTGTGGGGACAGTGAGGAGATGACTATGTGTGTGGATGAAAATGGCCTCTTTGAAGTGGGATTGCTGATGAAGAAATAGTACATGGCACTACTGACAAAGTTTCTCCTTCTGATGCAGTATCTTTCAGCTCAGTGATCAGGTCTAACTCTGCCAACTTTCAGTGGAATCTTACTTATTTTGAAAGCCAGAATGGGGCTTAGTGTCTTGCTGAGCTGGAACCCTTTTGCCCTCATTGCTTTGTCCTTGATACCTTCAAAGAGTAGGGTTCAATATGAATCTAGTTTTTAAGCTGCTCCATGAATGTGACAGTATGATTGGTTCTTTGGTACTGCTTCCTTCCTATACAATTGCTTCTCTTACAAAAAGAATTTGGAGAGAGAGTCAGAGAGCCTCTGACTGAATGGTCATACTGTAATTCAAACGTCAATATTTTTGCTGAGCTTCAAAAATTGACAAATTTAAAAATGAGTGTTTAAAAAAGAATGGATATTCTTTAGCCTAGTTTAAATGGTAAAGTCAGTAATTCAAAGCAGAAGGTTGCAACTGTAGCGAGAAGGCATCTGGTAGTTTAAACTTCATTTTCCTGCCACTTTTATTTACAACCAGTATCAACGTTCTGTAGTTCTTGCATTTCATCTGACTGAAGTTGTATTTGTGTTTGCACAATGTGCTATTTCTGATTACTTTATAAATAGTAGTCAGTCACACACAGAATATTCAAATGGAAATTGATAGTAATTCATATGTTGCAGATCTAATGGACTGCTGTTGTTTTGCTTTTTTCCTATTGATTTTTTTTTTTTAAACCTTTGTCTTATGCTTGCCTTTTTTCTTTCTTATTTTCAAGTGTCAATTTACAGTATCTGGTTTTACGACAAGAATGACTGTCATCGAATAGCAAAACTCATGGCTAAGTAAGTACTATGGTCTTACTATTCTGTAATTCTTTTATGCAATAGGGGAAAAAAAATTGAACCTATTAAACATGTTTGGGTTCTTTCTCACTCTTCTTAAATAGAAAAATACAATGTTCTTGCTGGTACTGTCTTTTTTAGTAATCAAAATGTTGTTTTTGTTTTTTAAAAAACTACAGCATTAAAATTTTCAGTTAAGTGATAAAAAAACAGTTGAAGTATTAGTTGGCATTCTCTGGGGAAAGCAAGTATGAACAGTGTTTGTTATTTTATATTTTATTTTGTATAGGGATGCTGGCAAAAGATCCTCTGATGCAGAAGGTGTAATCAAATAAATGATGGCCATTGTTTTTTTGGTTGGTTTTGTGGTTGGTTTGGTGGTGGGCTGGTTTTTGTTTGGGTTTGTGGTTTGTGTTTTTTTTTTTTTTTTAAGGCTTAGTTATTATTCCTGACTAAAGTGAAGAGATTGGAGAATAGTGGAAGAAGTAGGTGGAATCTTACAGAACTAAAGTGATGTTAGGAGAATAACAAAACTATGAAATAATAGGAGCTTATTGTTGCTAATTTCTGGATTGTTTGGGGTTTTTTAATTGTATTTTTCTTTCTTTCTTTTTTTTTTTCCCCCCTTTGGAAGTAAAGTTGGTTTATGAAGCTGCCATGTCACTTGCTCGTATTTTGTACTTCCAATGGCTCCTAGAGATGTCATGCAGCAGGAGAATTTGTGAAGTGATCTCGATTTAATGAAGCCTTAAAAGACTGTGTTTGCAATAACATGGTTTTGTTAGTTTGTTTCAGCTGCTGTCACTGTAGCAGTGCAGTTAGCCCATCTGTACTGTAGATGGTTGCACTGCTACAGCTGAGGAGGGCTTCAGACTACAGAAGTTTGAGTGAACAACTGAGGTCAAAGAAGGCCGGAACTAGTTGAGTTGGCGATGTGGCATAAGGTCTTTAAAACGTTGTGATTGGAGGGTATTCTTGCACCTTTCTGCTCCTTCAGGTGAGGTGCCTTGCAGATTAAGCCAAGAGCCAAGACTTTTTACTAAAAGAAAAAGATGAGAATTAACTTAAGCAAATCTTCAATGTTCTTACAAAAGGAAGGAGCTTGAAGTGTGTGACAGGGTAGTTACACTAGCAAAAATGCAAAATTGCAAAATGCAGATGTACTGCACAGGATATCTTGTTATCCTTTGTTCTCTGCTTTGCTTTTTTTCACCATCACTCTCTACCTTCTTTTCTGTTGCATGCCTTTATCAGCATGTCATGTCTTGCAAGACTGGCAAAACTTAATTATATGGAAACTAGTCATAGTGTAGACATTTTAAGCTCTGGGGTAGACATCTTGCTCTGGGGTTTTAGCTTTGGATTATTTTTTTCTTTTCCCCACAGAAGGTATGTAAGACAACACAAATGATAGAAAGAGACCTTGATATCAAAGTCTAAATTCTTATTTTTCATTTCTCTCATCCTGATAACCCTATACAGTTCCCATTTCCCACTCCTTTTTTTTTTTTTGATCCCCAGCCATGTTGGACTTTTTGCTGTTATTTGGCTTGTCCAAATGTAAGGATTAATTATGAGGATTAATGGAAAACAACTGCATGAAACTGACTCTCAGAAATTGTTACCAAAACAAATAAAATGTCTATTGCCTCTCCACTTTATAAACAGAGCATCAGAAGGACAAGGTTTTCTTTTTTTAATGCACCTTTTAATTTAAAACTGATTAATGTTTGCAGTGGGGGAGAGAGCTGAATTCTTCAAGTTCTACCATATTCTTATTCTGTCATGCACAGCTACACTGCAGACGTAAGTGTCATATAGCAAAACTTGAGTTCATTTGGTATTAAACTAGTCCAGTCACTATAGCACAAATCATGGCCTATAGATACTTCAGGGATCTTTAAAAGTGTAATCAGGTAACAGACCAGTAACAGTTTAGCCATGGCTCAGCAGTCCATAAAGCACGTCTACGCTTTTTGCTGGATTCTGTAATATTCTGGAAATAACTGTAACCCAGTAGGTTCACTTAAAGTCAGTCTGGGAATAATCTAAGCTTTATTTTCATCTCCTTTGTAAACTACTGTAGCCTGCCTTTTCTTGGGTTCCTGATGTACCTATATTGCAGCTTTATTAACATACAGAGGCAGAAGTGCCAAAGTTGGCATTATTGCTTCGCCCCTGTTTATGGTGCAGATACTCACACGCTCTTGTAATTGTAGCATCTCAGCACCCTAGAAAGTTTCTGAGATTACAGATTATTTTGGAAGGTCGAAAAGCTGAAATGTATTTTTAAAATGTTGGAATCTTTTATGGTAGGTGTTGGAATGATTATGGATTAAAAGTATCTTTGAAGCTGAAATTAGAGTTAATGCATCAAGCAGACTGTGGGGAACATGTTTTGAGCTTTGTCACTTCAGACTTATGCAAGTGAAACTAGAGAAATCAAATGTGTACCTAAAAAAGATTGATTGGATCTTGACAGAATACAGACAGTTAAATTTTGCTGAGCTGGCTAGGACCTCACTTTAGTATGATTTTTTTTTTTTAGTCTTTGCTGCCATTAACTTGGTAAAAAAAGGTATAAGTGATCTTTGCTAGCCTAAGTACTGCTATTAATAAGTCTTTCGTTATTTGAGTGCTTTTTTTTCATAACGCCTTTCTTCATTATTAGATTATGGAATGTCTGAATACTCCTAGTTCTTTTTTCCTTTAAAATTGTGTATTGGTTTGGGGGTAACAAAAGTATTTGCAGAAGACATTTTTATACTGAGAAAGGTATATAGTGTAAGTATATTTACTTTTATTTGTGGAAAAAGCACTGTAGAATGAAATCATACTTCATTTGGTACCACATTCCTTACAGCTTCTGAGTATCTAAAGGTTCATATTAGGGAAAATGAAATGAAGGCATTCTAGTTGCACATTACTGTAGGATGGAAAAGCTGCACTTCTGAGGCTGTTGTTACAAACTTGATGAAAAGCCGATTGATACTATTTTGCTGACATCCATTTCCACAAACATCAAGCTTTCTCTCCCCCAAAATGGGTAGGAGGCAGTCAGAAGAAAAATGCTGATGCTTCTGTGTGCTTCTCTACAAGAAGGAGGCTGAAACTGCAGGAATTATTTCATCCTGGGATGAAAGATGTATTTAAGAAAACTTAAAGTATACTTTTTAATTTAAAAAATAAAATAAAATTGCATCTTAGAGAAGGAAAGCTGCATTTCAGTGCATGGTAGCAGGCTTAGTTCAGTATATTTTGAAATAAATATTTACGTTGTCTTCCAGGAGCATTAATTTTGTTCCACGGTTTTTGTCTTTGTCTTGGGTGGAAATTTGGATTGGCACCCTTTCGATTAGGTGGGGTATTTTGTATCACTGATAGGAAAGAGTACTGCCTTTATATTACCTCAGAGCTTCAAAAACATAACCATAAAAGGTTTCAAGGAGATTTGCATTCTCTTTCCTGCTGTTTGACTTGACCTTATTGTGCCAGACTGAGTTAACAAGATTGCAGGCTATCCACTTATATTTTGGTGGCTTATCTTTCAAAAGAAAAGTAAATTGGTGTTTGTGGGCTTTGTAATCAGACTTCACTTCTCACATTCTCTCTCTCTCTCTCTTTCTCTCTCTCTTCCCCTGCTCCCCACCCCCCCTTCTGTGAGGTTGTGCCAGGTATATTTTCAATGCTATAACTGCGGATATTCTTAAGCAAACTGTCACAGCAGCTACTGTGTCCCCGAAGGCATGTGTGCCTCTTCCACTATCTGATATAATGGAAAGAAACAGCAGGCCTTGCTTAAAAAAGATTTAATCTGGATTGCACACAGAGCATGCTCAGTACAGATTTGCATTAGTTGACTTTTTTCCCCAGCGAAGGTATTTGATGTACAGAACTTTGGGTTTTTTTAAAAAAGAATTCCAGAATTTTCTGAAATGAAAAAAATTTATGTGAGTCATCAAACTGTTAACTCTAGAAGGAATTAATTTGGGTCAAGTTAAGTCAAGATGATTGTTTGAGAGATGAGCTTTCTAGAAGTAGTACAGAAACTAGGGTTTTTCAAATCTTTGTGAAACTACTGCATTCTGACATGTAAATTTGTAGGGGTTTTTATTTTTAGGTTAGTTTATAGGCTTGTTTTACCCTGTTTCAACAGTCAGACCCAAACTGGCTTCTGAGATAGAGGCAGCAAGCTAGAAGGGGGGGGGTATCTCAGAGAGTTTTGGGGGTATACTGTTTCACAGTTACCCCATCACCACCATCTGAATGTAACCTGCACAAGACAGAAGATGGAGGAAGAGCTGTTAGACAATTATCTACATGAGAAGATAATTTGTTACTCTTCAAAAAAAAAAAAAGTAAACTTTAAAAAGGTAATAAATACTTCATAATGGAAATAGAAAAATAATATGTTTTTCAGAAATCTCTGTGAAACATTTCTGTGAAATGGATGTACTCCTTGAAGATGTTTTGCTATGAGACCAAGTAGTACTATTTTAATGGGAAGATGTTTTGCTGAAATCTTCTGGACCAACTAGTTAAGAGCAGAAGAAGGGTCTCAAGACTGAAGCCTTTGCCTCTCCTATCAGGCAGCACATGCATGACTTCAGCTGTCCAGAATTTTCCTTTAACTGAAGTATTTATTTTTTTCCTGATACAATTATGCTGACACTTAAAATATCAGCAAAGTATTCTGGTTCTTTTACCTTAAGGTTAGACAAGTCCTAAGTCAGGACTGCATGACCGCGTGGGGTGCTAGAACAAAATGTTTTCTCAGGGTGTCACCATAGAAACATTTGCAGAGTATTGAGCCGCTTCATCCAAATGAGCACATGCTGCAGTTCTTAGAAACTGTTAGACAGAGCGTAGATTGGCCTCCCTATTCTGAGTTACGTTTGCAGGTGAATGCTTGCTTAACAAACGGAGAAAGCTGTACTAATAATGAGAAGCTGTTTAAATAAGCAGCTTGTATGATTAAAAATTTTGAAAGTAATTTTGAAAGCAGCATTGAATTGTTAAAAGCCAAATCTAACCCTTTTTCAAATAAACACAGCTAAACTCTAGTGAAGTAAAGAGGCATGGTTGCTAGAAAACTGGGAAGAAACTTCCAAGAATTGAACTATTTTTTTCCTCAGAAATGGCAACATAGAGGTGCATATAAATATCTAATTACTCTACAGTCTGTAAAATCTGGAGTTACTCTTGAACCCTAACTGACCCAAAGAAACCGGAGGCTGGAATGATTGACACTTTCTGTGATTGTTATGATGGCATCTCTTGGCTTCCCCATCAGCCATCAGTTCCACAGCATGAGAGTTCTCAAGTGATGTGCCAGCTCCAGAGCTCTGCCCTGTTTACAGTGCTTGTTTTTTTCTTAACATATTTGATTAATGCAGGCTTAAAAAAGAAGGGATTACAGGCTGATGTGTGTTTGTTTCAAGAGGATAAGCTTTAGCGCATTGCATAGCCATGTATATCTTGTGAACTGCGTATGGATTAGGAGTAGAAATATATCCTGCCTTTACTTTTATTAATGAAATGTACCAAGTACACATCATCTTCTTGTGTGTCTTAACTGTCTTTTAAACTGAAATTTTTTGATACTTGAGGCAGGTAGGGGTGGAGTAGAAGTGGTGAATGAACCATAGGCACCGGAGGAAAAGACGTGTTGTAGACTTGCAGGTAATTGGAATGACTACAGGGCAGCTAGAGAAGAAAATGGTTTGCTCTTCTTTCCAGAGCCTTAAGTGGGGGAGTACGGGATAACGTGGTCTAAGCCTCTTTGCAGGCTGACTCCAGAGACATCTGGTGTGAGCCAGCTCTCTTCTTTCACAGTGTCTTTGTTTTGTTGTATAATGGTAGGCCTCATCCTAAATTAAAACTGTTCTGTAATTGATTTCATTGAATAACATGGCTTGATTTGGCTAAATACAGAAAAAATGCATGTTAGGAAGTAAAGACTAAAAAATTTGTTTTATTCAGTCTATGGTATAATACATATGCTCTTTGTATAACACATGTTTGAATGTCCACATACTTTTTTGTAAAAATGTCTAAATATGACAGTTTTACAGAAGTAGTGTTTACTGTAGGCAAACTTTGTGAGAGACAGACCAGTGCTTTCTGAATCGGAGATAAATCATACATCCCATTTGACAGTTTGACTTGTATAAACCTTGTAGCAAATGAAAACTTGTGTAACTTTGGTCAACTATGTGTTAGGTTTTTATACAGGTGGAACAAAATGTGTTAATGTGCTGGGAGTACATTTTGCTTTATTGCTTTTTGCAAGATGTTAACTCCAGATAAAATTTTAAAATCCTGTTTCTCCTTTCTTGTTGTAGAGTGGTAGAACAAGAAGCTCAGAGATCGCAGCAAGTTTCCCAGGACAGGAAAAGTCCCTGCAGAACCAATGGCTGCAATGAAAACAGGCCAATTGACATCCTGGAAATGCTTAGTAAAGCCAAGGATGAATATGAACGAGTAAGGAAGTGTCTCTTTTTTTTTTTTTTTCCTTCCCCTTTCCTTCTTCCCCCTCCTCCCCCCCCCCTCCCCCCCCCAGTTTATGAACAAATAAAAACACTGCTTCTACTTCTGAATAAGGGGCTTAGGACATCATATGGAGTCCACTGAAATCGCATGCCATGTGATTTCTGAGAGAGAGATGATAGAGAATAATTCTGATATACTAAATTGTCCTGTGCAATACACTCTTAACCCAAGATTGCAAAGTAGTGCACCTAATCCATAATTTAATGGGCCTGTATATTCTACCTTCTGGGGGGAAAATAAATACAATTTTAAAAACAGATACCTGAAGATCCAGACACAACAAAATATTTTTCTAAAATAGGTGCATGGGCTACTTCATCTCAGTACTTGTCTACTGTCCTGTTTTGTGAGATCATTGTCAAAGGAAATGTGAACAAATAGGTACAAATATGTAACACTGTAGAAGAATGTACCACTGAACATGTCTGGTTTTGTGATCTTGAAGTTCCCTTATTGTAAATATACCTTATAGTGGCTGACACTTTGGTTTTTCAGTTTTTTCCTCTGTACTGAAAGTCACTGGAGGAGATTTGCTATGATTCATGCCATAATCAAGAGCATTCACTGAGCTGCACACTAAAATGCTTTGGCATGTGAATAAGACAACAGAAGCCCAGAAACTTTGTGAACTATCCCATGTCTGTGATACAAGCACAAGATGTACAATGACTTAGAGAGAAGGGGTGATGTGGGGAAAAATTAATATTTTAAAACAGTGTGGGATTTGCATGTTGCATGAATTCATAAGTTTTATTTCTGTAATTATTATCTTAATGGGCAACTCTTTCC